GGAAGGAGGGGAGCAAGGGGCTGCTGCACACGCGTCCTCCCGCTGTCCTGGCAGCAGCTCCGGGGGCTTGCAGCCCTCCAAGCACAAAGAGTCAATTCGCGCCTGGCTCTACCCGGGTGATTTTGCGGTCAGCACTGACTATAACATGGCCTGGAGCAAAACAGTTGTCGTTGTGGTTGCCATGTTATTGTTACACACTCAGCTCTGCCTAGCAGAGACGTATTCCGGCTCAGAAGTGAGCGTAAGTCCTGCCCCGGAGTCTGCAGGAGGAGTCACCTGGGAGCATCAGCGTGGGCACAAACAGCACGGTGCTGGCAAAACTGTCCGCAGCTTAAAAGAGATCTGCCAGATCCACCATATAAAGGTTCCCTTAATGCACCCTTAACACTTATGTGGGGTGTAGGCATGTTAAAGGCAGCATATGCCACCACAAGGGTTGTGGTTTGGATTCAGGGAGCTGATCCCGTAGCAGCACCAAAGGTTTCCTTGGTCAGTACAGCTGTAAACAGGTCCCTGGTCACTTTGTTTGAGGAGCCCAGACCAGGTAAGTGTTGGCTCCTTGTGGGTGCTCCTATCTGCAGCAGCCCCTGTAATTCTCCTTGCTCACGTGGCAAGGAGCAAAGTCGTGAACCGGGGTTAGAGGGCGGATGGGTTAGTGGCAGTGAAGTCCCCTATGTCAGTGGGGGCTGCAGAGTGGCTATGCTAACAGAAAAGACCTAAAAATGTCAACAGCAACTGCATCTCTAAGCTCTGATGCACCTCTGTTATATGCTAGGCTAGAATGCAAATGTTTTATGTAATAAATTACTGGCATAAAAGCTCCTCAGGTGAGCGTAAGTCAAGTTGTATATTGTGCTCCAGAAGTAAGACCTCTCCCTTTGCTTCATAGGGATTAAGGACTTTATGACACTTACTCTTAGCATCCTTAGCTAGCAAGAGATACCAGTCACCTTTCACCCAAATGAAAGAAGTGTTATGTCAATTATATTAACATATGATCAAGTTAAAGTCAACATCTGTATATACCAGTCACCTTTCACCCAAATGAAATGCCTGCAGCCCCCACTGAAGGGGGGTGGCATTACTTTAATGATTTGTTACTTCTGTCTTAGACCCAACAAAGAGCTTGTGTTTCCCAAAGCTTGTTTTTTTCTTTTTTTTCTTTCTTCTTTTTTTTTTCCCTCTTTTCCTGAATCACATGAATTTTTTTTCCCCCTTTGGAAACCTTGCTTTGCTTTGTTTATTTCTGTAGTAGTGTTATAGCTGTGACAGTCTATTACAGAAAAGTCAATATTAGCCCTACAAAAATGGTAACTTGTCACCTTGGTCTTTCTTTCATTTCTCATCAGTTTTACTGTCCCTTATCTATGGCACACCCACATCTTCTACTGGGAGATGGGAGTGCTTAGGGAACTAAGCACTAAATTATTTACCATATGACCAGTCATCTTCAGAAGGAAGAACTTGTTTCCCTAACCACTGTGCTTTTTGGTAAACATTTTTCTGTTAGCAGAAGGGTTTTAAGATTTTCTGATGTTACTGTCAGAAGATTCTCTGAAACGGCCTGACCAGTTTAGCAGCTGCCCATTCCCTTACAGAAGTGGAGTTGCTTGCCATGTACCAAAACCTAAGACTTATTATTTATATTACTATATGTATTATGTGTATATGCACATGCTAGGCTTGACAAACTTTGCTCAGCGTAGCAGAGATCGAGGTCTGTGGCTCTCTTATCTCTTGGCACTTAGCAAACATGGTTACCTGTGTACACAGAGGGCAACGTTAACTAAGAGAGGGGATCAAATTAGACAGGTAGTGCTGAAGGTTGAAGTGTAAACTCCAGTGCACTGTGCCTTTAGCTGAGAAAGAAGATATTCATCCTTTATACTGTACTTAGCAAGGATTAAAACTGCCTCCGATTAAGGCCCGTTTCTTGCATAACGTCCAGCCTGGGGAATTGGTAGCGTTCCTTCCATACTTCAGTTCAGACCTAGCGTGTTGAGCCCAGGTTACAAAGTTAAAGGTCGTGAGAGTTGATATGACTCACGCCCGTAGCATGTGTGTAAGCCAGGGTGGTGAGGAGAGGGAAATGCTGTACAGCATGTGTCTAAACAGGATGCTTTGAAAGAGAGCCTGCCTTTGCGGTCAAGCTAGTTGGTGACAACCAATAATTTACCTGGTGTATTTTAGTCTTGCAAATCTTCGTGTTCCGAAGCTCCCTAAGCTGGTAGTTTCTGAACAAGGTACAAGGTTGACACTGAGCCTTGATCTGCAGATGATTTCTTAAATAACAAGGACCTACTGCAAGCAAAAAAAAAATTGTGGCCTTAAGGGGGTTTTCTTTTGTCTTTTCCAAGCTTAAATAATTGCCTAAACTAGTAATTTAGGAGCACTAGAGTTGATTGCTGTCAATTATGATTTGGAATTGCTATGTATTTCTGCTTTAGATGCTTAAGAAGTAACTTTTTTTTTTTTAAGGGAGAAGTCCATGTTCTTTACACTGTCCCTTTGCATACCTACACACCAATAAGATTTTCCCCTGTTCCCCCTCTCTAACACTTCCTTCCGAGTGAACAGTCCCACCTCTCTCAGCTTCTGCTTATAGCAGAGATGCTTCAGACCCCTAATCATCTTTGGGGCTCTTCGCTGGCCCCTCTATAGAAGCTCCACGTCCCTTGTCCTGGAGAGCCCAGACCTGCACCCAATGCTCCAGGTGCAGCCTCACCAGAGCTGAGCAGAGGGGCAGGATCCCCTCCCTCGACCTGCTGGCAACGCTCCTCTTGTTCAGGCCAGGATCCCATTGGCCTTCTTGGCCACGAGGGCACATTGCTGACTCATGGTTAACCTGTTGTCAACCAGGACTCCCAAACCCCTCTCCCGGAGTTGCTTTCCAGCAGGTCAACCCCTAATCTGTGCTGGTGCCTGGGGTTATTCCTCCCCAGGTGCAGGACACCAATGGGGGACATGTCCTGCAGAAAACATGATATGACAAAAAGGAGAGAGAAAAAAAAAAGGCAAATGGGCCAGACATGCAGATACATGTCCCTGTGTTTTTGAAACACTTAACATCAGGCTGGAGGACTGTATCTGTCCCTGTATCTATTTAGACTGTATCTGAAAATGCTTTTCAATTCTAAAATACTTACATTGATTGCATGATCTTTCTTTATGGTTTATTCTAGCAGGTAAACGCTTTCCTTTATCAAGTGTCTGACCACACAGCCTCAAGATGAACTTCTTCCTGGAGTTGCTCAAAGTTATCGGACTTTCATTTTATTACCTGTTGGAGTCCCTAGTGTTCTTGATTATACCTAAACGGAAGAAGAGTGTTGCAGGTGAAATAGTGTTAATAACAGGAGCAGGAAGCGGAATCGGAAGACTTTTATCTATAAAATTTGCCCGCCTTGGTGCCACGCTGGTTCTTTGGGACATTAATGAAGAGGGGCTCAAGGAAACAAGCAAACTGGCCGAAGAAAACGGGGCAGTAAGAGTACAGTCTTACATCTGTGACTGCAGCAAAAGACAAGAAGTCTACAGAGTAGCAGATCAGGTAAATTCCTTCATCCTTGACCTTGATGCTGTTCTTAAAATACGTATGCATGCATATATGGTAAGTTAGAGGGACTTCAAGATAACACGTTAAAGGTAGTTGGTCCTGAATTCATTGCATATCGTACCCGTTTTAAGAATTTTGACTATTTGAGGCAAATTTAGACTAACTCCAGCAATGAATTTTGTAGATGTACTTTAAGAGAGTTAATAAGTATCTCTCAAAGGCTTAAATATTTCTTCCTTTCCTTTTTGAAGTGCTTTAGAACTAAAGCATATGGGTTTTGGGGGGGTAGGCTAGTAGATATGGCAAAAGCTGAAATTGCTCAGTTTCCATTATAACAACCTGCTCTCACTTGCTTAGAGTGTTGCTAAACTTCCCTGTTGGACTAGGAAGTTGCCGCAGTGAACGTTTGCCTCAGACCTTTGGGAACGCCTGTTGGCTGAAACGATGTCTCTGCTCTGTCCTCTGCAGTGCTGCTCAGGCAGGTCTAGTGCTCTGCCTTTTTCTGCCCGTGTGAGAATGACCATAAACCAAGCTTTGTGCCAGGAAAAGTTTGCATATGACCTGCAGCTTGGTCTGTCCTGCAACTCCGTTTTGCGGGTTAAGTTACAGATCTTCTGTCTTGGTTATATGAGTTTCTCTATCAGTTTCTAGGCTTCCTGCT